AAACTTTTTATTAAAATAATGTTTTCAAATGTGATTTGGGGAAGATGGGTAACTCCTGGCTGGTTAGTGGATAGTTTTATCTGAGCCTAGCAGGATCCTGCCTAGGGGTGGGGGTGGGGGGCGCGTGGTGTCCTACTGTGTTTCCCCGAAAATAAGACACCATCTTATGTTTATTTTTTCTCAAGAAGATACACTAGAGCTTATTTTCAAGGGATGTCTTCCTCTTTGTGCCGAAATGCATGGCGTGGCTATGCAGATACGCTGCATAGCCAAGCCCATCACTAGGTCTTAGTATTGGGGTAGGGCTTATATTTAACAGATGCATAGAAATCCTGATGGGGCTTATATTTTGGGTAGATCTTATTTTGGGGGAAACCTGGTAGTACCAGGAGGGGGTGCAGTAGAGTTTGTCAGAATACATTGATGTTCACAGGAAAGGCCAGCCATGATGGAAGGAAGAGAGGGCAGGCTTTGAGGCTTGATGAGAGAGAAAGAAACCACCTGAGCAAAGCTGACCTTGGGGCTGTGGCTCTGTGACCCCTCCTGGGGTTGTGCCACCTGGGTAAGGGGACAGAGTACAGAGGAAGAAGAACTAGAGCCTTCAGCGGCAGAGGGCGGGAGGCTGGCTGGTGGCTTCAGGGCTGCATTCTTATCTGCTGCTGAAACAAGCACTGAGCTCCTGGTGCTCACGTGGCATCGCAGGCTGGTCTCCAAACGAGCTCTTGAGTGGGGGCCTGAGTTTAAACTTTGTACACATGATTTGACCTCTGCTAGTGTGGATGGAAGCTGGGACATCTCGTACATGAGTCTAGATGCCCACGGTGGATCGTTAGTGGGAATAGGAGGGAGGTTTCTCTTAGGGAGGAAGTCTGAGGGTGGCGGGAACAAAAACCCAAACCGGAATGGACGGTCTGGTCTGAGAAGAAAGAGAAAAACAGGAAAACACCTGTTGTGGACACCAGGTGGGCGAGGGCAGGGGCAGGAGCAGGGTGTAGCCCAGGGCAGCAAACTGTAGGGCCGGGATAGAAGACACCAGGAGAGGACAAGGGTCTGAAAGGGCCCCAGTGGCCAGGGCCATGTGAACCGAGATCGAAGCCCCAGCACAGAATGCAAATCTAATGAAAGGATGGGTGGAGAGGAGGTGGAGATGGAGGTGCTGACCCTCTGGGGTCAGCCAGCCAGCGGGGATGGCTAGACAGCCAATGTCCTCATAGCTGGGCGTGGCCTGTGCTCGGCCGTATCTGCCCTTGGCACAGGACATGCAGCTACAGATGGCTGCCCCACATAACCTGGCGATTGGGAACTTGGTGTCCCCTGCATTTATACCCTCTGCTTTGCTAAGGGCACCCTGGTTCCCAATGAGCAGACAGGTGACCACGCGAGTCAGGCCCTCTCTGGAAGCACATGAAAGGTTGAAAAGAAACCCTGAGAGGTATGGAGTGGGCTGGAAAGTGCCTCTGGAGTCGGGTGTCCTCACATGGGTTGCTGGTGGCTGCTGCCTGGATGACCCAGCTCTGTGGCCTGTCCTCCCGCACCTGTCCTGTGTCCTGGGCTTGGTCCTTCTGTGAGCCTCCCGTCTTCCCTCCAGCGAGGCCCCTTCCTGGCAAGGCTGGCCAGCACTGGTTTCTCACAACCGCAGGGCCCTCACTGACAATGCAGGCAGTAGCTCTATCTTGCCTTTCAAGGACATCCTGTGGATCTGTGTGGACCATCCGTTTCTAGCTTCTTCGTAAATGGCACGGACTACGGAGCAGGCTTCCAAACAAAATAAAGGCTCTAAAGATAGTGTCTTCTAATAGGGGAAAAATCCTAGTGTTAGAGTGTTGGGACCACTGTCTGCCCACATGTGCGAGCAGGCTGAGCTCGTGTGTGTTTATCTGGGCTCCCCAACAAAGGCATCGTCTGTGCTGGGGAGGGAGGGCGTCGATCTTCTGGGTCTGCTGTGATATCTTTGGAGGAGTGGAAGAAACTGGCTATTGGTCAGATGTGGCAGCTGCCAGGGCTGCAGCTGGGGGACCCTCTACCCAGCCACCTGCATGTGGTGGTCAAGTCCCGGGAAGGAAGAGGCATCAGGCATGTGAGTTGCTGTTAGGTGTGTCCCCGCCAGACCCCTCATTCCCACTTTCTTTTCACCTTTTATGTAGCTCATGAGAGGATGCTGTACAGCTTCTGTATAGCAACAGAAAAGTAACTACTAAATATGTAATTTTATTCAGGTAGATCCTTTTTTGAATTAAAATATTCATATACACATAAGCTGTTTTCTTTTTCTGGAAGAACTGTTTTGAATAGTAATTACTGTCACTTTATTGAGCTAGTAAATAATAGGTAGATGTAAAGTTCATGTGCAATTTACTAAACTATTTTAAATTGCACATGAACTTTATGTGCGCGTGCACACACACGTCTGTCTGCCTATCTGGCAAGCTGTGCATCTGTCCATGTCTGTCTGTTATAAATGATATGTAGATCATTTGACTGTATAAGTGATATAACTGGTGGTCATTTAGCTGGTGAATACAGGGAATGCACCAGCTGCTGTGTCAGGTGGGAAGGAAGGACCTGGTGGATGGCTGTGAAACAGGCTCATCAAAGTGGCAGCAGGTACCTTTTGGATTTCCGTTGCTTGGTCATGTGGGAAAGTCTCAGATCTTTCCTGAGCACCCTGCCACTGCCTGAAATCCTCGGTCCCTTGAAGCCTGAAACCAAAGCTGGCTGAGTAGAGATGAAGAGAGGCTGTCCCCAGGACATAGGAACATGCCCCACAGACTCTGCTGCCAGGCCAGTGGGAGGCAGGGGGCCAGCAGGTGGGGTCTATTGGGGTAGGCTGTTCATTCCTGAGATACTGACTGTCTTAGGCAGGACAGGCTGAGACCAGGTGACAAGGAGGAGAGCAGGGAGCGAGAGGGAGAGGTGTGCAAGGACAGGGGAGCCAGGTAGTAAGGCAGCCCAGGCAGCCCGAGATCCCAGCGTCTAAGCCCAGGCCCCCAGTGGCAATCTGTAGGACGTCCTGGACTCCAATCCCCCTAAAAGGATGGGCAGCCTGCCTATCTGCAACCTTAACCCACACACCCTGCCCTGAACCCCTACCAGGGCCTCCTGTGGGTGCTGTGAATAGAGCTGAGTGTCCAGAGGCAGGCAGCATTCAGGATAAGGTCTAGCAGGGCAATGGGGGTGGGCTTGGAACTCAGGCCAGGGCCCGAGCCACAGGTGCTGCTGGATTACAAGAGGGGCCAGCTGGGTAGAGCTGCTGCTGCCATGGCATGAGACAGTTCTGTGACAAAGTGTGGCTATTGGAGGCAGGCAGCAGGATTTCTGAGTAAGGTGTGTGAGCAATTACCCTTCTTGAAGTTGTCAGGGACTTGAAGTCACTTTCTGGTAAGCAGGATTGAGAACTAGTTTACATTCAGTACCCAGGAACTGCCATCATGTGGGTCAGACTAATGCCTTCTGTTCTCTATGCCTGGAAGGTCCAAGGGCAAACCCCCGGGGTCGGGGGACGAGCAGGTAAGGAGGTTGCCTGCTGTGAGGTCAGCCTTGATGCTTCCAGTGCTTGCTGCACAGACCCCCGCCTTGCTGCACGGTCCCCCATTCTCTGGGGCACCCACTCCCTGCATGTCCCCCTTCCCCATGTAGCCCCTGCTCATGTGGATCCCTGCTTTGCTGCACAGACCCCCCATTTGCTGCATGGTACCCCCCCCCCCCTTACAGGGCCCCTCTCACAGAAGCCAGCTGGAGCAGCATAGCTCCTGGCACCATCTGTAGCTGGCTCTGCTCTCTACAATGACCAGCTGTGGTAGTGGCACTGTCCCTCCCTGTGTGTGTGCCCCTCTGCTTCATTCCCCAGCCCAGGACCCTCCCAGCAGGTGTCAGCAGGGCCAGAGGCAGTGGACCTGTGTTTGCTAGCCTGGAGACTCTGGGGCTGGATCCCAGGTCTGGATCTGGGTCCTGGTTTCGTCTTGTGAGATCTCAGGGGAAGAACTCTATGAAATCTCAGGCCTGGTAGGGCTGAATCCCCCTGGCTGCAGCACCCGGCAGCCCTTCTTGCTCTGGGCCACAGAGTACCTGGCAGCTGGGTCTCCCAGGCTCCGCCTATTGCCTGAGTCCAGTGGACCCTTTTCCCTGGGGTGGGGGCGTTATTCATGATGAAGAGACACCTTGTGCTTCCCGGGTTCCCTTGGGACCTCTGGGCACTTCCACCTCAGCAGTGACCCACACACCTGGGTAACTTTGCCTCTGTTGCACTGCAGGATGCTGATACTTTTAGTAGATGTTGATTCTGTTCTCTTCTACTCTGGAGTTTTTGTTTCCTTTCTCTAAGGTCAGATGTTGTGGGGGCAGCATCCCTTTGGGACGACCCAGGCCCAGGTCGGGGTGGTGGGTAAGAACGGCACCCTGGGGTGGGTTGGGGCTGGGTCCTGGCAGTGGCTGTGGGTGCCCCTCATCTGTGGGGTGGGGTGGTGGGCTGGCCTGCCCCAGAGCTGGTGTTTTAGTTCAGGGACAAATGGTGTTTAGAGCTGTGCTCAACATTACCAGTTTTGTCAAAAACGAAAGAGAATAGACAGATTCTTTTTCTGTTTCTATTACATGGCTCTGCTCATTAGCATACACAGTACAAAGGCCAGAGTTTTTGAAGCAAAATCAAAAAAATCAAAGTTCTGATTAATTTGCAGCGCTCAGCCATGGGCTTGTTTGGAAATTTCTAACCAGTGATGCTCTCTGACTGAGTCATGCTGTGGAAGAGCCCTTAATTGGAAACAGCCTCAGACAGTAGCATGGATGGCAACAGAGAGGAGATGTCACAGCAGAAACACCCATGAGGCAGATGCTGACAAGGAGGAGAATCAGCCTGGCGTTAGCAGCTGAGTCCTGCCAGGGTGGGGCTGAGCCCTGTGCACAGAGCTCAGGGGGAAACGAAAAGGACGTGGCCAGAGTTAGAAATCGGACACTCACTTCTGTCAGCCTCTGTCTTTGTTTCTAACAAGCATTGTCCTTTTCAGGTTGCCCGCCTCTTGGTCTGGAAACCTTAAAAATCACAGACTTCCAGCTTCATGCCTCCACGGCGAAGCGCTATGGCCTGGGAGCACATCGTGGGCGACTCAACATCCAGGTACCAGCCCCGGATTCTGGGCGCACTGCTTGGACATGGCCGTGGTTCCTTGACTGTGGGTCAGGCTCTGTGCACGGGATTTAAAATGCATTATCTCCAATCCTCATAATATGGGAGGGTGTTTCTCAACAATCCTCAATTTACAGAGGTTAGCTCTGAAACTCAGAGAGGAAGTGCCCTCTTCAAAGATCACAGTAAGAGTGAGGTCGTCCGTACCCAAGCCCAGGTGGGTCTGCCACCTCTGCCTCTTGAGCACATCCCCTCCACATCCCCTCAGTCTGGAAGGGCAGGAGGAGAATAAGGAACACCTGTGGGCCTGGGCGGGGCAGAGACATGGCACAGGAGGCAGTGGCGTCTGTCTACTTTCCTCCCTGCCAGTGTGTCTCCTCTCTGCCACACAAACGTCTTCCAGGGTGTCCTGAGGCTTCCTCCATCATGTCCCCTGCACAGACCCACACCCTGCTGGCCATGTACATCTTGCTTGGCCTCAGTCCTTGAGGCTTGAGGGCACCAGATCCCTGGACCTCGCTGCTATTAGGTCTCCCCTCGTCACTCCCAAACCTAAAGCCTTGCTCAGGCTTTTTCCCTGACCCCTACACAGCACTCGAGTCTCCACTCCAGACTCCCTCCTCTTGCCTGGAACCCCCTCTTGCCCACCATCATGTCCAAGTGAGACAGTCCCTATCTGACCCAGGTATGAGTGTCCCATTGCTGCTGTGACAACCTGTCATAAACTTAGCCTTTAAAACACCACAGATTTATTCTCTGATAGTTCTAGAGCATAGAAGGCTCAGGGGGCTAATTCTTTCTGGAGGCCCCAGCCTTTTCTGGCTTCTGGAGGGAGCCCCACCCCTCGATTGTGGTTCTTTCCTTCTTCAGAGCCAACATGGCAGGTTGAGTCCTTCTCACATTACCAGCTCTCTTCTCTCTTTTGATTCCTTCTGCTACTTTGGAAAGTCCTTGATTACATTTGGCCTACCTGGGTAATCTGGGCTCCCCTCCCTGCCAAGAGCAAACTCAATTTGCCTACAGTGGGCATTCCTCTCTGCCTCGTAACCCAACCACACACAGGTTCCAGGGATGAGGAAGTGGACGTGGTGGGGAGAACCATTGTCCTGCTGTGTCATCCCTGCTGCCATCTCTTCCTGCCCCAGGCTGTGCTGCCCCGGCCCTCTTGCACTTAGCGTTTCGTCTGTGCTGTGCTGTGTGGCTCTCTGATGGTGAGTGTTTCAGTTTTCTTCCCTGGCTGCTCTGTAACTATTGAGTGGCACATGCACCATCTCTATTGGGACAGGGAGTTGGCCCTTCCATCCGGCCCTGGGAGCTGTTGAGGCTACACTCAAGGCAGAGTGGCAGAGTGGACTTCTCATTCCTCCTGTGGTTGCTACACAAGTGCAGGGGCAGCCACGGTGCTAGGAGCCAGACAAGAGTGGATGAGGCTCATTCCAGGAGTTCGTGGGTACCAGGGTATCTGAGCCAAGTTCTGACCCCATGCTTCTGTGTCCCCACTGCCCCCAGAATTGATCACATCAAACAGACTTTAAAACCTCTCGAACTTTACTACATTTTAGTTCAGGGAAATCTAACTTGGGGTTTACTTCCCAGGAGGGGACAATAATACCCAAGGAAATACACTTATTAAAGGGAATATACTTCCCTCAATACACATATTAAATGGAATATACTTATTAAAAAAGTTAACTGTTAAGAAACCATTTGGATATGTACATCTGGAAATTGAAGAAATCTCTTGTGTTTTGCAAGAGGGTGAACACACAGACTCTCGGAGTTTGAACAGGAGCTGCTGTTGTGATCCCAGAGTGCCTCCCGCACCCTGGAACGGGCTCCAGTCCTCTGAGTAAATGACTATCAGGCCTGAGCAGGGCCGGGTCCAAACTGGCCTGTGGGGACTATGTTGTGTGTTAATAAAGGTGGTGGTCATCTGATGACTTGAATGCTTTCTCTGTAACTCAAGTTGTCCTTTAAAAAGAGGACATGTTCATGTTTATCCATGGACCCTGCAGGGCCAGGGCCTGGGGGTTCTGTTTGTGTCCCTCCATTTGGGAATTACTCAGGCAGAGTATGGTCGTGAGACACCACAGTGTCACAATCAGCCATGCTGAGATCAAACCTTGGCCTTGGTACTTGTAACTTTGGGACCTTTGGAATGATTATTGTGCATCTCTGAGGCTCGGTTGCCTCCTCAGGAAAATGAGGGCTCTTGAGTGCTCACAGGGGTCACTGAGTGGTAGAATTAGTTGATTTATAATTTTAGACATTTACTGGATCATCTCATTCCTTTGTGGGGAGCCTCTTGTAGCTTCCAGTTGCTTTTTGAATAAAACCCCAGCTTGGCCCTCGGTGATGGGAGTCTCTCTTAATTTCCTGCACGGCACTGCTTCTCTTTATTCGTTTGCTTATGTATTTCCTTGGGTATTATTGTCCCCTCCTGGGAAGTAAACCCCAAGTTAGATGGGGTCTGTCTCTTGCTCATCTATTCCTTGGTGCCCAGAGCAGCACTTGCAACAGGTGAGGTGCACAGAGGATGTACACAGAGCCTGGCTGATGCTGACGTATGCCGATGGCGCCACTGACCTGCCTTTGCTGGGCTATGCAGGAGGCCCCTCGGTGGACAGGTCATCCAGCAGGGAGTAGCTAGTGGGTTGTCCTTAGTCCTGGGTCATCTCTCTGGCCTCCTGTATCCTTCACCCATTGGAGGCTGACCCCAGGGAGAAACCAGGCTTCCCTTGGTGACCACATCTTCAGGACATACTCTCTGGCCTTTGTTCAGGGTGAAATAAGGGGGTTCTTGGGAACCAGATTGGGGCTGTTTGACTTTATGTGGATACTTTTTTCAGTGGTAAAATGTTTACTCTGACGTCCTGTCACGAGTAAATCTACGTACTTTAATAGCCAAAGCTGGGCCTGCCATGCCTGGCCTCCGGACTCTGAACCCTCATGGGTTACGTGGTGTCCACCCCGGAGAGTAGAATGCTACTTGTGTTATGAGTGGGCTTTGGTGCACAGCCCCCCACAGGGAAATCACACGTAAGTTGGGGCCTCCTTTCTGTGGTTCAGTACCTTCCAGAGCCAGCGCTGCAGGCAGTGTGATTCACAGGTGTGAAATTAAAGTCAGTCCTCCAAAAATACATCTCCCCACACATAATGGTTTAAAATGCAGTTTAAAAATAACCACCTCTTGTCTCACATATGAGTATTTTGTAGGCGTGTTGAGCTAATGGAGTTTTGTGATCAAGAAACAAGAGAGTGTCAGAATTAGAAATTGCATTTAATGTCCCAGAGCAGGATGGGAACGGGTGCACCCAGTCCTTCGCTGGCCTAGGCCCTGCAGTCACTAAAGCAGTTGTGGTCCAGGCCAGAGGCTTGTAGGCTGGCCCATGTGAGCTGGTCATTATGCTAACCAGCTTTGTGGCCTTAGAGGGGATGCCTGCCTACTCTGAGGCTGTGTGTCATGGTACACAAACTGCAGGTCCCACTGCTGGCCCTGCTACCTTTGTGGTATTATGAGGAGCCAAAGGAATAGAGAAAATTGTCCTGGGCACTTCTCAAATGGTGTGTTTGTGCCCATTAAGATTCATTCTTTCAGCAGCCCATGAATCACAGATTGCCAGGAACCACAGAAGTAGATTCTGTTCCCTTTACCATGTGGATTTTTCTTTAATGTGTTATGAAATTATTATTTCACATGATCATCAGTATACTCAGAGGAATATCTCTGTTCTGGAGATAAGGACACTGATGTCAGAGGCAGAGTGACCTGCCCTGACCCCACAGTGAGTGAACACAGACCTGAGACTCAAATCCCAGTTTTCTGGCTCTAGAGCAACCTGGGGCTCCTTTCCTGTCATCTGGGCACCCCCGGGTAGCTCAGCTTGGTCAGCAGCTCGTGGCACACCCCCCCCCCCGCCCCGCCAGCTCGTAACCCCCCACCCCCACCCCAGCTCGCGGCTCCTCTCTCTGACTTGTGCTGAAAGGGCAAAGGCGAGAAGCTCTGTTGATTCCCGGTCTTCAAGATGCCTCTAGCAGAGCGACAGCAGCAGTTGGCTCCACGCATTCCCAGCACTGTGCTGAGTGCTTTAGACTCGTTTCCTTTATTCCTCAACACTAGAGACAAGTCCTATTATTATTACCTGTGATTTATAGAAAACAGACACATGGAATGCAGAGTAAGGGGGCTGAGATTTCCCAGGAGAGGCGGATTAGAGACTGAACAGCTTTGAGGCTCACTTGTTGCTCCTAATGATGCTGTGAACATGCTGCTCAGGTCGACAGAGAGACGCATTCTGGGTACAACCGCTGGAGCGAGAGGCCGCACGGGTCTCTCTGTTCTGACAACAACCCTAGTGGCTTTACTCAGCTGGCAACCTTGCAGAGTGCCGAGCTCCTTGCAGATAACATGGCTCTCGTGTTTCTGGGCATTCCCTGTGCCGAGTGTGTGCTTAATCACTGCTTCTGGGACACAGCTGCTGCGCTCAAGGGAGCCACAGCTGTTGTGGGGAACGTCTCTAATCCTGGCTGCTGTCATATGCGGTCTGCTGTTGCATATCCACTCATCTATGGTTGGCAAACACAGGCCGATGTCATTCTGACACGGCGGCACAGTTCATGTGTGGCTTTTGCCAGTCTGTTAACGGTTTGTGGGACTGAGTACTAGTGCCCGGCCTCAGTGCGTACAGGCGGCGGGAGACAGAGCTGCGTGCCGCTTCTCCCCTCAGTCCCGGGGCTCCAGGGGCCACATGCTGTTTCATTGCAAATTTTCTTTCCTGTTTGCCCCAGAACTCAGCACTTCATTCTGCCTTCCATCCCCTTCCGTTGCCTGACTTCCCTGTTTTTTCTTTTTAAGCTGTATTTTGAAGTTATTTTTAGCAATTAAACATCTTTTTTTTTTTTAAAAGAATTATTATTATTATTTTTAGTTTTCTGATTACAGAGCTGCTCAGATCTTCTAAGAATTCCAGGGTGGAAATCCAGTTCCTTAG